TATATAAAATAATTTATTTAGTATGACTTATTTAATTAGTTGGCACAATTATATTAATTTTTGCTCATTTTCACTCCTTGGAGCTAAAACATCATTTGAACAAATTTGAGAATTTGGTCAATAGAAAGATTTAAAAGTTTACTGTAATTTTCATTTTTGTCATTAAACAAGTTCATTTTCATATAATTAAACAACCTAAAAGTTTTCTCTTAGAATTGATACTTCGTTTTATTTCTAATAGCACATCAAATATCTTTATTTTTTTCTTTCACTCCCTTTTCATAGTTTCCCTTACTTAGCTTTATGTATTCAGTCACTTATATAATTTTCTTAATTAATCCAGTTCTCAAACTTTTTACTCTCAAGACCCTTGACAGTTACAGTATTAAAAATAAACACAAAGAAATTCAAAAGATATTTTATTCTTAATTAATTTAAAGATAACAATATATCCATTGTAAATTAACGCAAATAACATATTATTATGAAAAATAACTGTATTTTCCAAAACAAATTTAATGAGAAAAGTGGCTTTTGCATTATCAGTGCCAATATTGATACAGTAAAAAAGACAATTCATGTATGTGTTTTTATGAATATAGTGTTGACCTATAGAACCCATGAAATTGTCTCAGAGAACTTCAGGAGTCCTCAAAGCTTTTAGGACCATTGAATTGATCTATCAGCTTCAATAGTATCCTTGTAAAGTAAAGTTTGACTTTTCTATTTTAATGTATAATATCATTTATTAAATCCAAACTCTTAAATTTATTTATTATTTATTTATTAGCCACTTCCATTTTACAATTTTTATTAAATTCCATAGAGGAGGATCAATAGAATTTTTTTACTACTTTAACCTTTTAAGATAACAGGATACTGCCTATGAAAATCCACCTTCTTCATTCAGTTGTCATTATTTCATTCTCACCTTTCAGGTATTTTATTTTATTCTTCCTGCTATTTATTTGACATAGGTAGTAAATATAAAGTTTTTCAAGGAAAGATTTAAAGTGATTTACTTGATTTGCAAATTTGTTGCATCATCTTGAGATAACTGAATATAGTGCCTAAGTGCCAAATGAAAATGTCTGAAAATTTTATAAAAATCTGGCTGAAATGCTAGACTTTCTACCTAGTATGACACTGGTACCATCTGTACAAAGTCCAATAAAGTTTTTACATATGTATTTCTCATTGAAACCATTTTACTTGAGCACTAACAGTCAAATTTACATATGATTTTAAATGTTGTTCTTGCTAGCTCCTCATAATCCCCAACAATAATCAAAATGGCATGGTATTGGCAGAAAAACAGACACACGAACCAGTGGAACAAAATCGACAGTCCAGAAATAAACCTATGTTTATGTGTGCAAATAATTTTCAACAAAAGAGCCAAAAGCATACAATGGAGAAAGGAAGCCTCTGCAATAAATGGTGCTGGGAAAACTGGAAAGCCACCTGCAAAAGAATGAAACTAGACTGCTATCACTACACACTAAAATTAATTTGAAATGGATTAAGGCCCTGAATATAAGACCTGAAACAATAAAATGTATAGAAGAAAACATAGGAACTAAACTCAAGAACCTTGGACTTAAAGAGGATTTTATGAATTTGACATCAAAAGCAAGGGAAGTAAAAGCTAAAATAAATGAATGGAACTACATCAAACTAAAAAGCTTCTGCACAGCAAAAGAAACTGTCAACATGGTAAAAAGACAACCATCTGAATGGGAAAATATATTTGGAAGCAATGCCTCAGATAAGGGCTTAATATCCAAAATATACAAAGAACTCATACAACTCAATAACAACAAAAAAAACAAACAATCCAATCAAAAAATGGGCAGAAGACCTGAACAGACACTTCTCCCAAGAAGACATACAAATGGCCAACAAACATATGAAAAGATGCTCAACATCGCTAGCTATTAGGGAAATGCAAATCAAAACCCAATGAGATATCTCACACCTGTTAGAATAGCTGATATCAACAGGACAAGTAATAACAAATGTTGGATAGAATGCGGAGAAAAAAGAACTCTCATACACTGCTGGTGGGACTGCAAATTGGTACAGCTGCTATGCAAAACAGTACAAAGTTTCCTCAAAAAACTAAGAATTGATCTACCAGATGATCCAGCAATCCCTCTGCTGGGTATTTATGTACTTTCTTAAGGGTGGTTAATCATTACAGAAGCAATGGACAGGGCTTGCTTAAGGCAAAGATAAACTTTTTACTAAAAAGTTATATACTTGAGGCTTGACTACCCACCATGACCTGCCCAGTTAGGAGTTTATGATCAGATCACCCTGTTAGGTTACTTTCCATAGAACACACACCCCCCTTTTTTGATCCACAGTTCTCCCTTTTGATCATAAATCGATCCAAAAGATACATTAATGACCAACCTTTTACTTGTATAGTATGGTCTCAAAGCCCTAGGAAGGCTCATTCCCAGGAATTCTCAGTATAAAGGTCATCTCATTGACTACTGGGGATGGGCAATACCATAACCATTGGATCTGAGTTGAGGCTGAATTTTTCCCAAAAAAGGAAGGGCAGATAAATGGATGGCAGTCAAGTCTTATGGCTTTCATTGGGAAAAAACCTTGAATAGTTTCTATCCTGTGAACTATCATTATCATGAGTAGTTTTTCCTCCTGTATCATTTTTTTTGGTAGTTGGAATTTAGTATAACATTTACATAAGCCATGTTAAGAGTATTAACATTTTTCTTATACATCTTCAGTAATCATACACAATTGAACTATATAGAAAAACACAAAGAATAACTTGTTCTAAATATTATTCTAAATAACTAAAACAAGTATAACCATTATTATGACTAATATCACTAGAAGACAGGTAAAGACAATCAAATAAAATGGATTCTGAGTTCAGTATTAATTCATAGGTATATAGGCCCTGTCCATGTCTTGGGATCACTGTCTACCTCCGGTGTTGGTGGCTTCTTGTCCTCCAGCAGTCTTTAATGTTCGTAGACAATTTTAGATGTCCATTCGAGGGTAGGCACCTGATAAGATCCCTTCCAATGAGGTTGGCAAGTGTCTTTTATTTAATGTCCAATCCATTAAACAAAATGTCCAGGTGGCAGTCAACGATCTTTAAAGTCTTTGGCTCCTGGGAGCTCGCTGTGAAAGGAAACAGTTTCTTGAAGTGACTCTATCAAACCTTGGCAATATTGTAAGATGTCTCCTTTCAATAATGTCAGCTCATAAGTTTCTTAATCTAAGTCCAGTTTATATGCACTGTGATGCGTAAAAGAATGTAAAAAAATAAAATAAAATGGGAGCCAGGGAGCCAGGAAGAACCAAGTGACCATCTTGGCTTTCCCATAGCCCTGACTGTTCGTTTAATATACCACCATTGTTTACCAATACAATATACCCTAAAAGTTTTCCATTGCTTATTTTACAATGCTTCCCATGAAATTTAATATAAAAAACAAATCTTTTGAGGTGTTCTAGGGACCCTTCTGAAATCCCACAAAGGTGTTCCTACATTTGTTGAGATTTCGACCCTTAAAACCTCAATTTCCAATGAAAACTAAGAAGTAAACAATTAGCATTCTTTAGCTTAGCAGACTTATGAAGATGTTTCATAACTTATGAAGATAGTTCTAGAAACATATTTCATAGACATAAAAGTCAATTATTAACATAGACTTAGTTTTGTAAAACCCAGATAAAATAAAGACATGTCCGTTTAACTCAAACCAACAAACTTAAGCTAGTTTTTATTTACAAAAGAGTAAACTTACATCACATAAACTTTAAAAGCATTTGGGTTTGTGTCTATCTTTCTGAGAATTTTAGCATACCCAATTCTTAATAGTGCTTCCTTTAAATTAATTTTAACAATACCTTCTTGAGGTAGAAAATTATCTCACATTAAAACATACATATGTAGACATACACAGATGGACACAAAAAGGGAACAGTTGGATCCAATTTTTGTTTTGGAATCATTTACAATTTATACCTGTACTTGACAAGTCAAGTTCCAAATGACCTTCCTCCTTTTAAAATAAAGATAGCCATTTTTAATTCCTTAAAGAATTGGTTTGACACTTAAATGACAGCATGGATTGATCTATTTATCTAAATCCTCTTTATGAAACTTCAAGTGACCAATTAAATATGTTTTCCACTCATTTTATCTAATTTTATAGCCGGCTTTTTCTAATCGTGCACATGAAAAATTAGTTTAGAAGTATCTAAGCATCTTCATCTTGGCCATATTAGTATTAATGAAAAAATGACTGTCAGGGGGCTTGTTAGCCTCACAGGGACAATTTCCCATGTTAATTTTGAGATCTGTAGAATCTGAACAAATTTCTAGGAAAAACCAGCTTTATGTGCATCCCTGGATGAGCCAAATGCAATGGATATGTCTATAGGACTGCTTTATGCTCTAGAGAAAATTTTTCCTCAGGCAACCTACAAAGATCCTTATTCACCAGTGATAGCTTCCCAGACCCCGACAGAACTGTGACACTTTGCAAGGCACACGCCCCTCTCTGGCCCCTCTCTTGGGGTAAGCCTATTCCAGGGCACCCTGCCCTTCTTCTGGGTATTCTCCTTGATTAGCTGCATTACCACACTGGACACTTCAAAGCACCCACCTCTGTCACTCTGGATTTGGGGATCTGAAACACTTGTCATTACCCCATTAGCTATTCAGAGTTAAAGAGAGTTCAACCTCTCATTTAACCAGCAAAGATTTTATTCAGACTCTTAGTAAACAATCCAATTAAAAAGCCGAAATTAAAACAGCAACTTGTTATTATTATTATTTTGCCTTCCCTGGTTATATCAACCTTTATCCTCCTCCAAGATTTTATAAGAACAGCTCAAAGTCATGGCCTGCTAGTTAAGTTAAAGCAAGGAGGCCTGGAATTCTAAAAGAAACTCACCCAAGTTCACCTGATATGAAACTGGGAGCTGGTGGGGCATAATGGCCCATGCTTGTGCTTGCTTTGGCAGCACATATACTAGAATTGGAACAATGTGAGATTAGCATGGCCCCTGTGCAAGGATTATACGCAAATTCGTGAAGCATTCCATATTTTTTAAACAAACAAACAAACAAAACAATGGGCCCATGCTTGTACCTATCACTGGGTCTGGGTTTACAGGGTGGTCCTGGGTGGGCTTCTTAGAAATCCTGCTAACTATGCCAAATAAACATCGACATAAGAAACATCCAAACCTGTATACAATTTTTTAAGAGTTTATTTGAGCCAAACTGACGACATATGCTGGGGAGCAAGATCTCAAATGCTCCCTGCTTAAATTTTTTTTTTTTTTAATTTAAAATGATTTTTATATTTTTTTATCATCACATCAGTAAAATAATTCTTTTAGGAGTTTTGATATTTCAAATGCTTTATTTGGGAGACTGACTTAGGATATTCTTTAAAATTTATCTCAGAGATGTTTGCAAATATTCCTTATTTCAACTATTAGCATTCACAGAACATTATGGCCATTCCTATGAAATATGCATGTAGAAGTTTTAACGTTTAATGATTCAAGTTTCGAGCACTGTTTGTGTCTAACAGTTACAGCAATGGTAAAAATTAGCTGCTCATATTTTTGGTTGAAATAATAAAACTTTTTCATTTTAGAAATGCAAATTTGATACCGATTCTTGTACAATATAGAAAGATGCTTCTTGCTGTTCTCATATAATTATAGTATTGGAAAATTCCTAGGTTGAAGGTTATTTTGATAGTATTTCAGAAGTATATGTTTATGACTCAGAAGATTCGTGGTTATGATATTTTGTAAAAAGCAAGAAATATATCTAAACTTTATTATCTCTTTTTATGCACTTTACTTTTACATTTTACAATACATTTATGCGTGTATAAATATCAAAGCTGTGCACACTAACTATTCACAAGAATTTAAAAGCATCGGCAGTGTAATCAAAATAGAAAGAAGAGAACCCAAATTTAAGCAATAGCAATGATGTGATTCGAGGAGAATAATAAAATGGTAATTATTCTAAATCTCAGAATGCTTCCCTGCCCAAGAGATTGGGCCGTGAACATTTCTCACATTTACTTTGACAGAGGCCCTTTTATCATCAGAACAACCTACATCATTTGGCTGATAAACTAAATTTATAATATTAAAATTTATATTGGTAATTAATTTTATCTCTCATTGCAGTTACTATAATAAAATTTACTGACACTGAAACATTTCAATAGTTTATCAACAGTCAGGTTTACATACACACACATACACACACACACAATAGGACAAATTAAGAACAATGAAAGTGAATCAGATTGGCAACTTTGAGTGATTTCATAAGCAAACTAAAAATCTCCCTTGCTTCCATTCCTGAATTAAGCCTAAATTTGACCTCTGATAAATACCTCCCAGGTTACTGCTTCAGCAGCTGCTTCTAGGGAATCAATCGCCTTCTCCCTCCCTCTGGCACCTGAAGGCTTGCTTTGGGAAGCAGCTTTAGTTATACAACTAGACTTGACTCCCTCAAAACCAATCCCTGGCTTTAGATGATTGTTCTGTGCACCTCACCTAAGTTGGGACAATTGAAATTCCTTCCTTAAGAATTTTGGCTCGAGACTGACTGGTCGCTGCTAGTGCTTATGTCCTTCAGCCATGTCAAAGGAATGCTGAGGTGAAAGAAAAGAAAAGCAGGGCACCAATGGTAAGCAGCCCTCTTTGAGTCCCTGGTTCTACTGGAAGTTTGCTTTGAGGCCCTGTCTGTGAACTGAGAGGCACAGCTATACTTTTACATTCTTTTGTTATTTTCTGCTTTACCTCATGTGGCGTTTGTTATTTGCTACCGACAGTCCTAACTAACCATTCCCTTAGCAAAAAGCCCCCTTCCACTTCTCTTCAATAATGAGCCTCGAGGACAAAAATCCTTAAGTGTGCCTTTATTTTTTAAAGCAAGGGTGTATTTATAGGGCCCATGCTTACTCTGTGCAGACAGGATGTGATGCAGGTCTGAATTAAGGGCCTCTGGTGGCTTCTTAAAACATGTCCTAGTGTGGGGTTGTAATTTTAATGATATTAAATATAAAGAACTCTAAATTGTATATTAATTAGCTTTAATTAGCTTAATTTCCTAGTGAATGTGACCTTGTTGACAGGTCTAGATTATTAATTATGTCCCACAACAGAAGCTGCGAGACACAGATATGCATAAAATATGCATTGGCTCAGCGGAAAAGGGTATACTTGTCCTCTTCTGGATGGTGAAGTGACCAGCAGGAAGGATGAACTGCTGCTCCTGGAGGGTACTGAGGGCCAACAAAGCCTCATTTGATAGATCCCCAAACCAACAGCTTTGACTGCCTCTGGGAAGCGTGGGAGGATTCCCCCTGTTCCTCCTGGGATGTTGGCTGCTACCAGGTACAATGTGGGAAAGGCTGCCAGACCTAGTCCAAGGTCTTTCCCCAGACCTTGGACTAGGTCTGGCAGCCTTTCCCACAAGGCCCCTCCCCATTGCTTTCCTGCTATCTGAAAATTTTATACTCATTGCTTTTGCTGGGAACGTTTATAGAATGTGTTAAAAACAAGCCAACAGGCCCCAAATGGAGTCTTTTATGCTAAGTCCCATGTTACTAAACTGAGACAATTACAGTTTGGGCCTTTCCCAGAACTGGAATCTTAAACCATTCAATCAGGAATTGCCTGGTCAGCATTAGTGAAATAATCTGCCTGATAGATCCCTACCATCCCCTAAAGGAAAGTGACCTTGCAATAACCAATTAGTGGGTCAAATATGTGGTGACAGAAAGAAATCTATGAGTGGTGAACACACAATGCAATATATATATATATATTCCTTACTGTTAAATTATACACCTGAAACTTACTGGATTTTATTAACCAATGTCACCATAATAAAATTAATTTAAAAAAAAAAAGAGAAA